TATTATTTTACGCCACTATCGGCACAATTTATATAATTAAAGAGGCAGGCAGTCAGTACCTGATAGACTGTCGAACTTGTCCAAGACAACCACCCGTTGGCGTGGAGTACAGTGGTTGTCTTATACAGGTAGACGTCTTGAGTAGTGTCAGGACAATGTTATAAAAATCGCAAGATGGAAACGGAGGAAGCATTAAATGACTATGACGGTGTCCATGTGCTTCTCTTTACTCTATCAAACAAAGAAACAAACAAACAAACAAACAAACGAAACAGACAAAAATACAGACCTACGGGTATATGACACCAACCCCCCTCCTCCCTAACCCGCCCTAGTTTGTGTCCATCTGCTTTTCTTCCCTCACACAAACACAATCCCCCCTCTCCCTCCTATTCCCCTCTCACCTGTAGAGCCACACAGACAGCCTCCAGCACCCTCCTCTTGGTCTCCGGGTCGACAGAGAGGCCAGTGGTCTCCCCTCCCACCGACTCCACCAGCAGAATGCTCTCCGCCGTCCTCTGTACGTCGTCGTCTATCACGGCCGGCGGCATGACACTGTGCGACCCGTGTGACGTCATGCTTCTGTGCGGGCCTGTCCTCGTCTGTTGGTCGTTACACCTCCAGCGGTTTTTTGCTGGTGGGTGGAGGGTGAATGGTTTGTGTAATCTGATTTTAACAAAAAATGAAACTATCTATCCATTTATCTATTTGTCTGTCTGTCTGTCTGTCTGTCTGTCTGTCTGTCTGTCTGTCTGTCTGTCTGTCTTTATCTATTGGGTTGTTGCCGGTTGGTCGCCAGTCCTCTAGCGGTTTTTTGCTGGTAGGTGGAAGGGATGAGTGGCGGGTGGTGGGATGGGGAATGAGTTTGGTTAGTTGATTTTAAAAAAATTATGTCTGTCTGTCTGTCTAGCTATCGTATCTAGTTATCTGTCCGTCTATCTACCTCAGGATGACTCGGCTGTGGTGTGAAGCTATATAAGAACTTCGTTGATGCGCACAGAAATAAACACCCCCCAACCCCCCCCCCAAAAAAAACAACAACAACAACACATAACACACAACAACAAACATCGGAGCTCTTTTTCCGCAATGGAGGGTGAGAAGAGGTATTTTGTCGAGTATCTCCGCCTGTCTACTAGTACTAGGGTGGTGTAGTTCCCTTAACCAAAGTTGGCACTGCCAAGCTGGATTGCTGCAGCCCGTCTTTTCAATGGTCTCAGTTACGTGGACTAGGGATATGACAATATACGCTCATTTATTTAACACAATGACAATTTTTAATTTTTAAAAAAATAAATTTGTGGGATGGAGGGGTTTGGTTTTTTTATGTGTGGTTTTTTGTTTGTTTTGTGTGTGTGTTTTGTGCAAGTTACCCTTTATATACGTGTGAAGAAATGTTGCTTATTATTGAGGCTATCCTGATCTCTCTGCTTGCCAGAAATAGTCTTGAGAAACATACGTGGGAGGTTGGTGGGTGCTCTTGTGTAGTTTGCTTCTTCTTTTCTGCCAAACATATTATTATAGTATCGTCTTATCTCCCCTCCTTCTTTTTGTGTCTGTTACTCTCTTGTAACACCTCTAATCTTCGGCGCTTATATGACCTTATTGTGTTGCAAGTGCCGTAAAACGCTTACTTAAAGTATTTATCACAAACTTGACAGGTACTCAGAATTTAATTGTGAATTCAGACCCATAGAAAAGTTTTGATTCTCAATAAAAATTCTTCCCACTAGGGAATCACACTGGTGTCTCCTGCGTACGATGGCGAACACCCTTACCGCTGTACCACAGTTCCGGTGAAGTTTGGGTTGATTTGTGTGGATTAACTGTCTGTTTTGTTTAACAGCATCAATGATTTTTCAAAAAATCATATCATTGCATATACGTACGGCGGTCGATAATATTTGCCACGTCACGTATGTAGTCATGATTTTACGATGGAGCGAGAGAGAGAGAGAGAGAGAGAGAGAGAGAGAGAGAGAGAGAGAGA